ATATTTGCTTAAATATGTTGGAAAAATAAATGCACATTCTTTCTATGCACCATTTTGTTTATGGTGACTTTATGGAGCCAGTCACAGTAAGACATTTTGAAACACGATATGGCTACAAAGGAATATCACAATAAACAATATTTAAACTACTTTGAGCCACTGACACAATAACAATAAAGCAGGATAATCCTAGTAAACCATTTTAATGCAGTGCCATTAAAAGGTATGAGCTACAACAAATGAATATTAGAACTAACCAATAATTTGTCCTGGAAGTTACTTTTTCATCCCTCTACAGCTCAGATCTTATAGTATCACAGATAAAATTTCAAAAACATCCCCACTATTGCAACAGAAATATACACATGATAAATAGTGAGGCTCAAATATATATTGTTCCAGCTTTCATATTTTCAATAAGTAATAATAATGATTGTGACAGATATGGTTGTGATTAAAATAGTGAGTTATGAAATATTTTTGTTTGTATATGCATTGTTTATGTTTCATGTGAACTAAATGTTTGAAAAATAATGTTTTTACTCAGATTTGTACCTACTATAACCCTTTCCCCAACAGTAGCTGGTCTAACCCCCACTGTCTAGTGACCCCAAACTTTACAGACTGTTTGGGTGCTGAAGGAAATCCATGCAGGCACATGCAGAGACCAAACCAAAAAATCCATTACAGCTCAGTGTTCAGCAAGACGAAGGTATCCACTCCACCCGAGAAATTGGCTTAAAATGTCAGCCCCTGCCATGTCTCTCTCCTATCCATCAATTCTTTACTCTGTCCTTTCTCCGACTTTCATCCTCCCCCCGTGGGCCTTAACCCTCTTGTTTTAGTACAATGCCAGTCTAAACATATTTGAAGAAATGTATTTATAAAGAAAGAAAGTTGTACATAAAGATAGCATGGCATAAGAAAGAACAAACAAGCAGAGCAAAATAGATCTCTAAATGTAACCACCCATAGTCTCTCAGAGTCATTTGTATCAAAAATCTGTGCACATATTAGGGCTGGACAATATGGTACTAGTTTTTCCCTCATTGATCACCATGATTTCTGATTTAATTCAATTTTTTTTTTTTTTTATACATTTCAATATTAACTTAAACAAGGCATACATTTAATCCGTGAGATGCACTATGTGTGGGAAATTCTATCTTGCATGTGTCACTTTAGAGGTGTTTAACTGCTAGAGAGATACACTGAAGCGCATACATTCTTACAGTGAGCATGGTCGTCTCTCCACAGAACTGATCTGTGACTTCATTTGGTGTCTCCATGCAGATAGACACATTTAATGCAATACTATGGAACATTCCAGGCAAAGTAATAACACGTCCTTGATGATTTAACACAAACAGTCCTGGTTTACCTGGTTTTACTGAGAGATGATTGGCAGAAGACCTTTTGATAAAAAGTTCTAAGTTTATCATCACATTTGATCTAAATTTCATTAATTGCACATGCAGCCCTGACAAAGTAAAAAAAAAAAACTCAAGGGCCTCATAATTTAAAGGTGCATGCTTCATTGACCTCTGTATCTTACAGTCAGAATAAGCAAACCAGTAAAATCTGTAAATCTAACTATTTTAATAATCTCTTCATGCTACATTACTGACCTTCTGTGGACTTTAAAAACATACAGATAGCCTACATTATGGGCCTTAAACTTACCGAGCCTGATAAACACCAAAATCACAGCCTGACTATGAATGCCTGTGGCTAACACACTGACCTATCTTTCTCTTATCACATTTCCGAGCAGCATTTGGGAAGAGCAGGTGAGCGGGCACAGTTGACGCCGCTTCTGTCTCTTCTGCATTCAAGACATACTCCACAAAAACGTGTGGCTCAGTGGCTGCACCCAGTGACCCTAAGTCACACAGCTGCAGCTATAGAGCCCATGCCTCCCTGCTCTTCCCCCCTGAGGTACCAACCGTTTACTATAACCAAAACACTAGCAACTGATCCTAATTTGTCTACTACCTATAGTTACCCCAAGGCACGTGTGCTGTGCAAATGGCTCTCACTCAACAGCAAGTATGTTATACCCCAAGGTCAAGCGATACTGACTGGTAATTAATTGAATTTCAGAGGGTTTCTAAGCAGACAGGGCAATAGCAAGCTTGGGTGCACCATCCAAGCAAAGAAAAATATAAATTAGCCAAAAACATTTTTGTTAACATAAAGATCCAGCGTGCCAGTATTTACAAATCAAGGCTTGCATGCATTTAGCTGATATAGATAATTGTTAATACAGAACACAGAGTTTGGAGGAAACATTTAGAATACTGGGATAGAAAAGCTGGTGGAGAAATCTCACAGAGAGGGATGCTTGTCTGAGCGCCTGTCACGCCCGGAAAACAGTCGAATAAACGTGGGGGAAACGTATCCTTTAAGTTTTCTTCACGATTGTTATATTTTGGCTAAGCTTGCGCCCCGTAGGTGGCATAGGTTACTGCATGAGGGCATCTCACATCCATGCCCAATGCATATTTCTTATGGAAGATAACACAAACGGTGTGTGCGCGCATCCAAGCGTACCCAGCACCATCCCATCCTCTCCTGGCATAAACATACACCACTATTGGGTTTCTGTCTAAATACCCGGAGAATTTGCAGATGTTTTTCAATGGGCCTTGCCACACGTTGCCACTCTCTGTAGCACAATTTGCCTAATAACGCTGTGCATATCTGAGCTCACCGGTCAGCTGATAGAGGCTTGTTTTTAACTGAAATATTTATAAAGCCATGTCACGATTTGGTTTAAACACTGTTAGTAGACAGCTGGGCATGTTTTTGCGTGCCGCGCGTTTGCGACAAAAACAGGCCAATATGGCACAGAGCTTCAACGATAAACCGTTCTCACATCAGTCAGCCCAGATTTGGGGCTAATTATCACGCCAATCGCTCTAAGGCCCATTCCTATGCGCACAGCGTAATATTGGGTGCCGCTTTATGAGCAGACGGTGCATTTTGGAAGTGACAGCTGGCAATGCTGGGTACATGGTTACTGCACGGGCTGCAAAGAGCATTACATGGCATTAATAAAGGTTTGAATCTTACCTTAGTCACTAGGGAACCTATGGCTGGCGCAGAACCGCCTCACCACGCCGAGGTCCAGCTCGTAAAATGAGACAACAACAAAAGCACGCCGGTTGTTGATGACACAGCTGTCCTGGTACACGAGACGAAGGAGAGATTCTTCCCCAGATGTGTCAATAAGAGCAGGGATGTGAAATCACTTATTCAGACGCATATCACCGGATTGACGCCTTTTCTTGACGTGAGAGGTCTTCCATTTTTATGATAAACAGCGCACACGGTAGCCTATACTATCGAGAGTCGCCGTAGCTCTGATTGAAAATCATGATGCAATTCAGTACGACGTTACAAAACGCTCCGATGCAAACGCTGGAGAAGGACTCCATCCTCGTCTTTTGGTGAAAAGCCCCCACGCGACCTCTGCAAAAGAAACATTGCTACGCTTCAGCTGCGCACAGTCACTAAATACGACAAACAGCACTGCGCAGATGGAGGCGCACTGCACGGTTCAAGCGGTGGCCATCCTCCTTACGGCGGACCCCCATTCATATTCACCGGAGCTGAGCCTGGTGTAGACCCATAGACCAGAGCGGGTCCGAGCTGGCACCGAGTCCAGCTGCACAAGGAGATCCACAGCGCACGGGGCGCGCCACAAGCGCCGCTGTTGTTTTGATGTCTGTCTGGTGAAGCGTGTTTTTCCACAGTCTACAGTGGCGGAGATTTTGCTGAAAAAAACAGCGCTGCATTATGTCAGCAAGCATTTGATGTGAAAGTCCCTATTCCTCTTATTATTCTAAAGAGGATAAAACAGTTTAGTTCACTATAGACCAAAACAGTACGCTATAAATAGACTCCAATAGGAAATGCGGAATAGGCCAAATTCATTGAGCCTACTCTGTAATTTTAAACAGAATGTGTGACTGCAGCATTACATAAATTACTAAAATGCAACAAACATTTAGCAAAGAATTCATATTAAGTATTTTAGGGTCACGTGACACATTGGCCTACACATGGCCTGTGAGGGGACTGACACACCCCCGTCTGTGATCACAAAAGGACAGCTAAGGACATCCTAAAAGCAGTATTAGCATAGGCTATTCCAATCAAACTAAAACATGTGGAAGTTACATTTTCCATTTGTGATGCACATTCACTTTTTATTTATTTATATGTTTATTTTATTTAAGGTGTGGTCTGGTCTCCTCTATAGGTCATATACACGCGCATACCAAACAGAACGCTTTTGGTGCAACAAGTGCGGTTGGCCCAGTAATGGAATGCATTTTTGTGTAATTTCTGGGTAGGCATTCTAATAAAACACTGGGTTTGCAGTTCTAATTAGTGAATTCTATTATTGTAGAGAGGAAAGAAAGGCCCAGGACAATAAAGACAGACACAAGCTCTGTGATGGCGCCCCTAATAGGCTATAACTTTAATATCCATATTAATGTCATTCTATTACTAAACACATCAAATAGGCATAATAAACTACAAATATTGATTTTTCTGTTTTATTCAAGCATTGTTTTTGAATAGGCCACACATTTGGCTACTTTATCCGATTAATTATTCATGAAATAATAGGCAAACATTGTTGCCAGCAGTGCACATTGCAGATTGAATAGGGAGTAGGTGCAAATGATAGAAGAAGCCTATTTAGAGTCGTGTATTTATTTTTCTTATGAATTGTGTAATAGCGTTATCTTGTTAATTGTTTTTGCTGGATGCCTAAATGGCTCAATCACTATACTGGGGTCATGTCAGTAATGCGGGTAATTTGCGAATGGATTGCTGTTATCAAGATACTAGCTTAACCACTTCCTTTTTTACAGTTTCACAATATGAGGCCAACAACCTTCAGCCTAGTACCGTTGCTTCACTGTGAAGAGGCTTTTATTTTGAAATATAAGGGGAAGTGACTTTGATATTTTGGCACATCAAACAGAAAGCAGGAAGTGATGGCTCTGAATTGGCAATGAAGCAAAGCATATCTGGCTTAAAATGTATAGTAATGTGTATGGCTTTCTCACAATATCTCATAATTTATATCAGTTGTTTGCTTCTGGATACAAAGCAGGCCCACTCACCATGAAACACAAGGTAGGAGTTTTGCAGTGTTCAGATTTCCAAATCCCTGTGTGTATGTTTAATGACAATGCTATGTTCATCTTTTCAGATAACATCTTATGAAGACTATGACTATTTATGTCCAAAATGCTCTTTTTCCTCACAAAAAGCAGCAGTGTGTTCTACACAGCTGCATTTGGTTTAAAAACTTCATAATGTCCAACATGCAGGAACATTATATTATTGTGAAATATTGTCAATACAGTTACTTCTGATATTGCAAGACTGTGTCAAAGTATCGGGGGAGTGGATCTGTTATCAGTGGTCTGGTCAAAGTGCACACAGTGGCTGTCATGAACTAGTGAGACTTCATTCAAATACACTGGCGATAGAGACTACAGAAGGTAATGTATTATTCATATTTATTAGTATTACAATTATGATATTTATTCATGCTATTAAAATGTTAAAATTTGAATCAACATCTGATAAAGCTGGGATGTTTTGTGTAGTGCATAAATCAATGTCATCAATGGCACTGATTTATTAACAAAATACTTTGGGCTGGCTCATATATAGGTCATTTATTAATAACCTCTTGACACCTCTCTAAGCAAAGTGTGCAGTATTACGGTACAGGATAGGGCTGCACTATTTACCTGAATATCTGTGACTAGTCAGCTATCAAAAAAACACCTTATTTTGATAATTGTTATTGTTAACTGAGCTATGTGACTCTAAAGCACTTGCCAATAATAATACATCTGTAATATCTTTTATATGTAATTATACCACAGTCTGTGAGGATCCCAGCGGCTAACTGCCGTGCGTTAATCCTGCATAACGCACAAGTAGTTCGGCAACAGCCAAATCACTGTTCTATATCACTGCTCTGCACGACATCACTATAGCAACAGGTAAATGCTCAACTGCTGTGGACAGAATGTAGGGACTAGCTTCATTGAAAACATTGAAATAACTAATATTTTGGACATTTACAGACAGGGAAGAGCTGTGGCTGAGATATTTTGTAGCTGTGATATGTGCACATTATACAACTTTGAGCCATGCATTTTGCAGTTTTAATGAACTTTTCTTCTGTTCTACTACTCTGCAGCGTGCGTTAAAATGCATAATGCACGGCTCAAAGTTGTTAAAAGCTTACATATTCCAAGTGCTGTAAATCACCATTTTCATCCTTTATTTGATGACAGTTATATTTTAATTTAAATGTACAGTTGACTAGTCAACTAATCAAAAAATAATCACTGACTTGTCAAGTATTAAAATAACTGTCAGTTGCAGTCCTGATGGACAGGCCGAGTTGTGCAGTTATCAGCACTAGATTACCATCATGATAACTTAAATAATTACCAATCAAAGTACATTTGTCAGGTCTGTAATTATAAGGATCATTTCACATCACTGGACGCAGAAAGTTAATGTTGTGTTTGAATATTGCAGAAATGGCAAAAGAAAAAACTCAGTGGAAAGAGCTGATAGAGGCTCTAAGTGTTCTCCAGTGGGTGCTAACGTTTCTGTTCCTAGGTAAGGCTATATGTTGTCATTATAAGTACATTAAAATGCACAAGTTATATTTTGAAAATCAAATTTTTAACAAAAATAAAAATGAATAATTTTTACATTATCTTGTATGTGTAATGTCAGGGTTGTCATGCACTATTTTGAGCATCTACCTTATGTTTACGTCTCTGTGGCCACTAGCTGCACTGTCCTTTATGTGGCTGGTGATGGATTGGCATACCCCTGAAAAAGGTATTATTATTATTATTATTATTATTATTATTATTAATGTGAAATAAAAATATAAATAAAAAAATACATTTAATTTATATATTTTTTTATATATCTTCAGGCGGGAGGGGAACCATGTTTGTAAGAAAGTGGAAGGTATGGGAGCACTTCAGAGACTTTTTTCCAATAAAGGTAAGTACTGGTAGTGAAATTGGCCATATTTGTTTTGGTGTACAAATACACTTTGAAAATTTTGTGGCTTTTTCACAATCATTTGTTTTGTACACAGCTAAAAAAGACAGCAGAATTGAGTCCAAACAAGAATTACATTTTGGGTTGTCATCCACACGGCATTATGAGTGCTGGAGCCTTCAGCTGCTTTTCCACAGACAGCTGTGGGTTCACAGAGCTGTATCCCGGTGTACGCTCCCGCCTGGCCATCCTGGCGGGTCTCTTCAGGATCCCACTGTTTAGAGAATACATCATGTGTGCAGGTTTGTGCAAGACTTTCCCCTCCTTCACATCTGTCCCCTCTGCACGTCCAGTCATAAAAGATGCCCACAGAGATAACTTTTGTACTTTGCCTGTTTTCTGCACAGGCCTTTACCCTGTCAGTAAAGCCAGCCTCATACACCTCCTTTCAAAGAGTGGCAAAGGCAATGCAATAGTTATTATCATAGGGGGTGCTGCAGAGTCACTGGCATCTTCTCCTGGAGCCAATACAGTGGTAATAAAGCAGAGAAAAGGATTTGTCAAAGTGGCCCTGGAATTTGGGTGAGAACACATGACACAGGTAACATTAAGTCGTCTCAGCAGACAGAGCGCTGATGTCTGCTCCTCTTCCTCAGGGCTGACCTGGTGCCTGTGTACTCCTTTGGAGAGAATGAACTCTTCAAACAAGTGATTTTCACAGAGGGCAGTATCAGCCGAAAATTACAAGATCTGTTTAAAAAGGTCATGGGCTTTGCCCCGTGTTTATTTGTTGGTGAGAAATTTGCCTTTCTTCCTTATAGGAGGCCAGTCACTACAGTTGGTGAGTTCATTTTTCCAAATCCAATGATCTCTCCAGATGTAGTTGTCACTAATTGATTGTTTTTACAGTGGGAAGTCCTATCTCAGTGCCAAAGCGTGCATCCCCCACAGATGATGAAGTGGACCATTATCACAAACTCTACATGGAGGCTCTGACAAAGTTATTTCATGAGCATAAAGTCAGCTGTGGTCTCGCAGAGAGTCACAAGCTGCTACTCATTTGACCGAGTTCTGATTCAATAGACCACACACACTGGACATGCCTCAATATTGTTTCTAGATGTTCTTGTACTTAATTACGCTGACCAAAATGCATTGGTAAAGTATTGCCTGTAAACCATCAGTGTGGTTTCTTCTTTTCCAACATCAGTGGTTGTTATACTATTTCAGACTGTGGTAAAGGAACCAGTGGTGGTTCTGCTGGAGGTTCTTTGGCACACACAATGTAAATGTCACTTTTGGACTAATTTATTATCTTAACCTTTGCACTTAAAATCACTGTTAAGATCACTCATATGTGAAGCTACATTTGTAATTGTTACTAAGGACAGTAGAGGGCATCAGTATCATTTTTACAAAGCTACTGAACAAATGTAAGTTCAACTTTATTGGATTTTCACCAGTGTATATCATACATGTGTTCCAGATGTACAAGATGCAAAATAAAAACAGGAATAACATTTCAGTAACTACATTTATTAAGCAGGACACAGGGCTAAGGTGCACTCCAATCAGATGAACCTAGAAGAAGTCCATATCGTCTGGGGCATCCAGGTCACGATACTCAATAATGTTGCGTGGATCACCTCTTGACATCCTGTGATAAAAAAATTATTTTATAAAAAGATTTTAAAATGGCATAATATATTATATCAAAGTAAAAGCCACACGTACAGTGCTCTCACCTAAGGTTGCGTGGCTTTCCCAGGTAGCCACCTTGACCACGAAAGTTGTCATAGTTCCCTCTGCCTCCCCCGTATTGGTTTGGGGGATAGGGTGGACCTCAAGTGGGGACAAGAGATAAAAAAAACTTTAAAATGACATTCACATGTCAATAGGCCTTAAACAATCCCGTTTTTTCACACTACCATTCTCAATGCATAGGTCACAGTACCATTATGAACCAAATGTTTTACAGTACTCGTAACATTTTATTATACTGCCAACAACTAATTATTCCAGGGGTGATAAACAAAGTAAAACCTTGCTGCACTACAATAACATGCATATTGAACCATGTAGGTGTATTGTATTGTGATTGTATTAACTGTTATGACTCAGTATTATATTAAGTGAAAAATGACCACACAAGATAAAAGGACTACTGACCACCATAGCCCATCAGGGGAGGACGAGGCTGTCCAAAGCCTACAGGACCCTGTGGGCCCTGTGGTGGGAAGGGCATGCCTGGAGAAAGTATACCTGAAGAGGGAAAAAAAAACATTCATATTTGTATGTAGATATAAACTCAACAGTATTATAATGAGCAGAGCATCAGAGAAACTACAGATCACACCCTGACCTGGGCCAGGCAGAGGAGGCAGCTTCAGCTCTGGTAGAGAGGGTCTCTTTGCATCCATCAAGAAGTTGTTGAAGAATACCACCTCTTTTTTAACTTCTTCAATTTTGTCTCCATGTTTGTTTAAAATGTGCTTTCGCACAAACTCAGGGCCCTGGAGAATCCATGTGTATTAACATGTAATATCCATTTATTCTAATCACACAGGATTTGTTTTGTAATCTACAAGCTTTACAAGACGGGATTTACCTTAAACTTTTTACCACTGAGGGGGCAGAGCCACTTGTCCTTTCCCAGCTCTTGAGTGTTAGCCAACACAAACTTCTCCACCTCCTCCTCAGGATCCTTACGCCCCATCTTCACTGCCTCCTCCTCAGAAAGGATTTCTTTCAAGCTAAACAATGGACTAAGTTTCTCTTCCATCATTTTCTGCCACTGTTGCACTGTTTGGAAAACAGAAAAAGTTTAACAAACATTGTAAGAGTTGTCTTTGTTGACATCCTACTGATAGCTTCTTACCCTCTCCCTGTGTGATGCGGTTAGGAGGAATAGGCCCGCGCACATGAATCATCCCACAGCGATTGGGCATCTCATCCTCACTTGGGTATTCACAAGTGTTGTAGTAGTCAATGGAGTGCACAATACGAAGATACAACAGTAGACGATCCAAAACCTATAAGCAAAGCAAAGCCCTAAGTTAGAATCTAAACTGTACTGCAGACAAAACAAGTTGAGAGAAAATGGACAAAGATTGGAAAATGTTTAAATTGATGTGACCTTTGCTCTGAACAAACCTTGGCTAGCTTGTCATCCCTCTCCACAGTCATCTCTGTGGGGTTTCCCTCCTTATTGCCCTCCTCTGGATCCAGCCCAGTGCCAAGAAGCTCCTCCTCCTCAGCGCTCACCTCCTCTATCAGGTAATCTGTGATGTTCCTCAGGATGGGGTTCTGAGCTGGCAGCTGTTGCATACACATTAAAACACGAATCTTCAGTCCAAAAAACAACTTTAAGGATATTACTTTTTGTATCGTTTTCGGATGTCACTTCAGTGCGCAATATATTTGAGTTTACTTAATTCACTGTATACATCTGTACAATTCACTGAACCAGGTACGCAGTATTAAAACAAAATCAATATCAATATACCTCAGGACTGTCTTCCTGGGTCTTGTTGCTCCACAATTCTCCTTTCTCGTCCAAAGCATGAATCAGCTTTGCAGCAAACTTGATGTCATTGCGAAGCACCTGCTTATGTTGAGTGATCCCATTCACATGGCGCACCCTCCGAGCCAAGTCCCTGTTCACCCCAGGAGCCAGCTCACAGTCTCTTAACTACAAGGGGCAAGGAGTACACACCATATTGTATATATTAATATATACAGCATAATGAACGAATAAGGCAAAACTTTTAAAAGATGTGTATCTCTGAGACACTTACTCGAATATTTTGCAGGCTCCAACACACCTCTTTAATGTTAACACTGCGATCAAATGTCACCCAGCATCTTCGGAAAAATCTTTAGGATCACAAAAATGTGTCATTGTGAAGAAATTGATGTTGCTTGCTTTAATGAATACTGAAATTACTGAAATTACTTTGATTTAATAACAGTAACAGAGCACAAACCTGCGTTCTGGATGGGGATCAGACAAGCAAACGCGAAGAAACCCTGGGAATCTTCGACAGAGCTATTACAAAATATATATAAATTATAAACAAAGTCACATATAAATGCCAACTATGTTATCATCAAAACTCACAGCAATGATCTCTCCTTTTGAAATGGTGGGAGCAATGCTTCTCATGAACAAGGAGCAGGTCTTGTGAAGTGGTCGAGGTCTGGGAGAATCATCTTTGGGTTTCTTCTCTTCTTTCTTGTCATCCTCTGAGTCTTTAGGTTTGTCTTCTGTCATCAGAAAAACAACACATTTTGCATTTATCAGTTTATGAAAAGGCTGCAGCCTATCATCTCTCTAGGACTGTTATGTCCATGTCACCAGGACAAGAGTCGGGAACGAGCAGGTCGGATCACAGCTGACCCATCTCACCCTGGACATGGACTATAGACGCATTAGTGAGTGCAGAAAACGTCGCTGTCTGTGCAGTTAACATGAAATTGCAACGTTAGCTAGCGCTGTTGTTGTTATCACTGTGTGATAAAATAAGTTATGATTCTAAATTATCATTAGAGAGTGGGATACATCTTAAGGGCCCATATGCATTAAATGCGAGTGCGTAAATGACGAGAAGAAATGGCTCAAAATTCAGTAGCAGAACATCCAGTCATACCTGATCAATACAACTAGCCTGGTCCCCTGGGAGAGTCTGAAATCTGCTGAAATCCTACAAGACAATGGCATGATACCAGCTAGGACAGTGGCTCTTTCTGCAGCAGACAACCGCAGTAGATCACGAAGTGATATAGTCTTATAATCCCTCTACAGAACCTCTCACCACAAGAACAGTTTCTTCCCCCCTGCTGTTAATCTCCTGAACACTCTAACACCTGTCAGTTTGCACTGTTGTTCTGCCCAAACTATATATTTTGTATTGTATATCAAAATCTATTTTTTACCTTATTTTAATGCATGCTTAAGTTTCATTTTATCATAGTTTATATTATTATTCTTTGTTTAATGTCGCATCATAACGCCAAAAGAAGTTCCTAGTTTGTGAATCTTGTTCACTGACAAAGGCAATAAGACTTATTCTGATTCTAAGCAGTTTTCGCAACCAGCTGCTTTTATGTTTTACCTTCCCCCTCTTCCTCCTCTTCATCCTTGTCTTCCTCTTCTCTCTTCTCAGGTTTGCTGTCAGAGCTATTTGAGTTTGAGTCAGAATCTGAGTCGGATTCACTCTCTGAGCCACTTCCTTCATCATCACTGTCATTGCGTTTCCTTTTTCTTCTTGGCTACAAAAAGTAAAATCAGTGACTGGGACATTCAAGGTAGTGTGTATAGTGTGTAGGATGCTGGTTTATTAAAAAAAAAACTTAATTCAAGCTAAAACTGAGAGGCCTTAACTTGCATATGGATAACAAAGATGTAATCTCTCAGTATATACATACAAACTACAAACGCCTCATTGAAAGTTTAACTGGTTGGAACTCGAGCATCGAATCATTGCGAATGTGCTGGCATCCTGTGCCTGCTGTGATGTGGCCTTGCACCTCATCCAAAAAGTTACTTTGTATTAATGTGGTTGATCCATAATGACTTTAAGAACAGCAGATGGAAATTTGTGTGAAAAGACAAGGGTTTGGGGCAAACATCTGCAAACAAGCCTAACTGACCCTGAGAGACGATGCAGTTGAATGCTGATTAGCACACAGTGCTCAAACTTTTAAGGTCTGCGTCAAGGTGTAGACAGAGACAGTGCTGGTGATGGTTTTAGCCACAGGATTTGGCAACCCAGTGTGGGGCTCATTCTGAGAACCACAACAAATTAGAACCTTAAGAATAAAGCTACAGCTCAATATCTGAGCCAAACACAATGCTTAGAAAATAAAGAAATGTTACCTGTACCCAGTCCACTATCTTTGAAGCAATGTATGTGTGATTCTTAAATCAGAGCTGACCTTCTTGGGCTCAGGAGGTTCCTCTTTGGGAGGTGATTTGTGTGCCTCTTCTTTAATGTCCTCGCCCTCCTCAGCTGCTTTGGCATCACCTTTGTCTTTGGCTGCAGAATCTTCCGCCTTATCCTCCTATGGCACAATTTACTGTCATCATCCAACAGCTTAGTACATTATATAATTTGTGATTAGATCTTTACTTTTTCATTTTTGTCCCCTGAAATTGGATCTTTATGTTCCGTCTCTGGGGTCTTGGAGTCCTCTTTTTTTGGCTGCTCGGGGGCACCTGCAGAAGGCTTTTCCCGCTCTTCCTCTTCTTCAGAGGGAAGGTCCAGGATGCGGAGATCATGGTCAGTCCCTCCTTCCATCTTAATCACAGCTGAAGAATTACAAGTAATAAGTAAGGGGCCCCTTTTGATAGTTCACACTGTTTTTAATCCTAATAGAAGAATATCAACTCTTTATATTTATAAAATAATTATTTGGCAGCAACTATTCACTTTATCATTATTGTCTCCTGTGGTACTAAAATTATTTATTGCTACAGATTTTAAAAAGGAGACATAACGCTCACTTAGTTGTATTTGGAGAAATTCATACATGTTTGAGTATTCCCTCACAAATGTCACCTAACCCCTATCCCTTGCCTACTTCTCTGTACTTAGTTAAGATTATTCAGACAATAATGATTCTAGTTTGTCATTTTTCAACTGTTTGTTTTTTAACATGTCTGTGAACCTGTTTCTATTATTAAAATGTTTTAGACTAATATTGCGGTTTACAATGAACAAAATGTAAAATACCTAACTAACTATGCAATATTTTAATATTAAAAAACAAAGAAAAAGAAACATTTGGTACATACATACAAACATACATAAGGCTTTACCTGCATCCAGTACTTTGATAATGGCTTGGCTATGGTCAATATCTAGCGATACTCCATCAAACCAGCTGTTCTCCATGAGGAAGGTGAAGACGTTGAGGCGGTTGTTGAGAGCACACTGGGCTTCAGCCTTAAGTCGACTGGCTTCATCTGGATGGTACTTGGACCTGAACCTGTGACATCCAGGCCCACAAGTGTAGGAGTGAAATGAAGGGGGTGGGATGAAGGGATGTACAAGTTAGAAAACATGTTATAAAAATTACATACAAATCATGTGTTATGTATGCAACTTCTAATGTCTATTGTATAGCTTATCTGACGTTTTAAAAAATGCCCAATTATGATTTGCCTATACAGATCTCTACCATAAATAAGCCATCTTCAGTCTTTCAATCAATGAATGAGGTTCAGCCTGAGATTAATGCAATTATTTTAAAGAATAAAGCATTAAACATTCACGTAACAAAGATAAAGCACAATGTTTATCATTGAGTGGGCTAGAGTTACCTTTTGTTCTGGCAGTTTAATAACAATTTACTACAGAGATGAGACTCTTCTGTGAATATGCGCTCCACTTCACCCCAATGGTGTGTCTGTATACACACATATTCGGTTTTGGGATTCGATTTGATCCAAATTGGAAAAAAACAAGTTATGCAAAAATAAAAAAGTTTCAAAAAAATATCGCAGTTCACGTTCTAACTGAACTCCCTGATACTTTGTGTCTAAAAGCAACTGCATTGTGCGCAGTGCATGCTCTGACTGTCTAGGACCGATTCCTGAGGAAGGGCTCCACTCTTCACCACAACTGTTGTGTAGAAGGAAGAAAAACTTGTTAAGGCAAAAACAAATTAACATGTTATCTGTGAAATAAGTAATAAGCATCAACATAAGTTACACAGTTGACAATTATTCCATTAAAAAAAAAAAAAACTGGCAAAACTCAAATGTTAAAAACAGAAAATTCTATAGTCTGTATTGCTTAAAAGAAAGCTTGAAGGGGATATGACCAAAAATAAGTACTGCATCCAGATGAAAATTTTTAGCTTTATAAACAAAACCTTAAAATAAGCTCTATGATGGCCATGTTTTAACTAATAATAACAAGTTAAAAGACTACAGAGAAGGTCATTCAGATCATACCACTCTTCGTCTTTATGAGCCAAAAAGAAGTCTTGCATCTGTTGACGGCGGAAATCAAGCTTGTACTCATTGTAGCGTTTGACAGCTTCAGTCTCGTCCACCGAGTCATCCAGAGACAGCAGGAACTCCTTGAAGGTCTTCATTATTGGAGGAGGAGGGCCTAAGTCCATGTCATGGATGTTACCCAGTCTAATGATAATGTTACAGAAACGTACAATGAATGAATAACACAAGAATTCATAATTTTACACAGTTCTTACCTTGCTTGTATGGGAATGCCATGATGCGGCTGCATGAGATGCATGTCGGGATGTCCCCAATGCTGAGGTGGTCCATAGCTTGGACCAGCACCACCGTAACCCAGATCATAGCCTCCTCGATATGGTTCTCCCCCATGATCATCCCTGACAGAGATACAATATTTATTTCCAACAGTTTGCTCTGAACTATTCAAACGGCTGCAGTTATCAACTGACCAATCACGCCTCATGCGCTTCTGCTGTGGGCTCATGTCGTGCCTGGGAGGAGAGAATCGATCTCTCCGACCCCGATCATAATCTCTGTATTCTCCACGGCTTCTGCGCTCTCGCCCTCTGTCCCATTCCCTGAAAATCAAAAATACAGAACATTACAAAACAACAGTGTACAGGACACACCGTGCCCTACAGTTGTGTGATTTACCTGTCATTCCAGTCATCTCTGCGTCTCTCTTCTCGTTCCCTGGACCGGTCATAGTCACTCCTTTCACGTCTAAATTTGTCCCTTCTCCTGCGATCATATTCATCGTCACTGTCCCCCATGCTCTGAAAACAGATAAAGAGCAATTAGAAACAACTACAACCTAAGCATCCTGAACGGCTCAAAAATAAAAAATGTGTCTCTTCAGGCATCGCAAAGGTTTAGAGTGCAAAAACCGTGAATATCGGGGATCAAGACTTGACACCAAGCTTCGACAAATACAACCAAGCTGTCATTTAGCAATCAGTACTAATGTCCTAAAACACTCTTGCAACGTCAGTGTTTACTTGTTTAGCAAGGAACAAGAGGCTCCACAGATCGTCAACAAAAGGCAAGAATTAGCAGAAATAATTTAAATAATATGAACAAAGCGCTAGGTTAGCCACGCCATATGAGCACAGAAGCTAACCACTGTAGCAGTACCTGCTACATAGGTTTTAGGTTACATTTGAGTTCTGTTTAGCGCATATGAGTTATTTTAAAATGTCACACTCTAAAACTATCAGTTTTATAATATATCAGAAAAAGAAATTGTACCAAGTTCTTCAATAGCTCTGTTCTTCCGTCTTTAGCCGTGCGTCTTCTTCTGTGAACCTGAAAGTAACCATTAAACCGCACCATCGCTCTCTACTGGTGGTGTAGTGCACACACATTCACAGGATTCTGGTTATGACCATAGATTGTATAACACTTGCATGCTTATGATAGATACACATACCATCACATTAAAAGGGATAGTGCCACGTCTGTTCTACACACGGTTTGCATGCCTACAGGTGAGGTGTGGAGACCAATTTAACTTGTATGATCTACTTTACAAACTGTTGACTTTTGTTCGACATAACTACCTTTTAAAATCTTGAAAAGGGTCAGTTTGACAAAAGTTAATGTTTTATTTTTTACACATACAGATTTTTGTATTGACTATTTTTCCTCAGTATTCCTGAATGCTAAAAGTTGACTTTCTTGATGTTTTTCTTTGTCCTTCCTCTAAATCGTAGTTTGTGCCTCATATAATCCAAGACAATTTGAGGCCAAACTTGAGTTGTCTGCGCTTCATCTACTATAAATAATGCAGATTCCTCTTGTTGTGGATAGCCATCTCCAACTAGAGAAGCAAATTGAAATCCGTCTTGGGGAGGAGCCATTCTTGGAGCAGGATAGGCATTTCCTAAAAAAAACTAAAAACACACCAACAGCTGAAGATAGGTGCAAGACAGTTTTACATACATATAAGCCATATTACCTGATGTTTTGTCTCTCGGGAGTCCAGCAGCACAAATAAAGATGCAGACAGACAGAGCAAGAAGGCAGATCTGAACACACAGTAGCACAACACCACAGGTCTGGCCATCTCTCCTCACACCTGCACTTGGTTAAGTCTGGAGCCTTTTAAAACCATACAGCGCTACTGCAAACTTATGACATCTGATCTGTTAACAAATGTTTTTAATTATAACTGCTATCTTAATGTAATTGGAACAACCCTTTACCTTTCAACATATTCCTTAATGAATCCATAGTAACATCTATTGATTTCATCTTGCTTTAAGGTCTATTGTTCAGATTTGAATAGTCTCTGGTAAGCAGTGGTGATAAAATGAATGCTTCAAAAGACTAAAATTGGCTAATTAAGACAGATTACAGAGTTAAAACAGTCTAATGTCTAATGCAATGCCATTAATTCTACACAATGAAGACTCAGTTTTTATGTACAATAATTAGCCCGGGAATTATTATCATATAAAGCTCCAGAAAGTCATATTGAAATTGATTTAAATTACTTTACTTTAGTCCTTACTTCCGGTCAATTATTTTACCCTCATTAGTGCCAAATCTAAATGTTCATTGCCATGGCAACTGCCAATTATTTAGTAAATTATACATTCTAATGCCATCTGTAAAGCCCTTCAAGATATAAAATAATCTGAAGGCTTTCTTAATAGCTAAAGGAAGAAAGGAAATGCTACAAGAACTTTCCCAAAGACTTTTAATCCATCAAAGACTTTGATACAGTAGCAAAGAAACAAGGAAATCAGATTTTCTTTAGTCGTCATTCTTTTTCAAATTTACAATGGAATGTTAATAGTTATCAGTTTTCTTTTTCTCAGATCTACTTTAAATAAAATGTACACTAAACATGTGGTGTATTAGTTAAGCAGCACAAATAATGGATGAAAATAAAAGCAAAAATAAGTAAAGAAGGAGCATCAGAGGAACAGTGACCAGGTGTGCACAGTACAGATAGCAGGAGTGTAACAATCCCTTAATTTCCAAATATAAATATCACATAAATCAAGGCCATTATAAGGCAACGCTTTTTTTTTTTTTTTTAAACCCCCAACTAATTCGTACAGTTTTTTTATAGTTTCAGTTCTTATAAAAATACAAAAAGTACTAAATATTGTATATACATAAATCTACAGGCAAACAAATATGTTAAAAAAATCATTTTTTGTCACTGCCTGAGACGTTCCTCAGTATAACAAATTAGAAGACTGTCAGACACAACATTCAAAATAATTGCAGAAAGCAAAATGTGCAGGTAATGCATTTTTAGATGAAATAAAAGAATTCTGGGAAAAATAAATAGCAGAAAAAATGAAAGAAATTCCCAGTTCTTCAATAGCTGATAGTGTAACAATATTCATTATGCTTTTTCAATTGCACTAATCTCCATCAGCCATGGAACAATACAATGACCTGTATATTGTTTTTTTCTTTTTCATTTTGTGCAAAACTAGAGGTCAGATCAGATGGGTGAGTGAGTGACTCACATGCATGTAATGTAAAGTATGTGCAAGTGGCTTTTTATGTTCCACAATGATCATACTAGCTTTGAGACACAGGTAGTACTGCTGTACCGTGAGTACAGATGTACTCACAAGTTATTACAGCACACTGGATTAGATGACAGTTACTTAAAATGTTTTATCCAAATCAAATCAATCAAACATTGACATCCCTACCAATGAGCTGAGCTGTGTCATCATCAGTGTGTGTGTCATCACTTTCTGTGTCAGTGTTCTCTTCAGGGGAGTAGTAGCCCTCAAAGCCCACTATGGGGGATTCACTGCAGGCAGGGGAGGCCAGGCATTGGGCAGTAGCCACTGTAGTGTTGTTGGTGGCAGAGTAGTCCACTAAACTACCAGAAGGAGAACCAGGATGGGAAGGTCGCAAGAGAGGGGTGCGCTCAGAGTCACCCTCTGTCACTTCCTCCTCGCTGCGGTGGCCTCCGTCCTCCTCAGACTCTGACTCCGAGTGGTCTGCGGTGGGGCGGGTCACGCGCTGTTTGCACACAGGGCAAGTCTTTTTGGTTTGCGTCAGCCAGGGGTCCACACACTTGCAGTGGTAAGCTGAGAAAAGAGCAACATCATAATGAAATCACAAACTAGTGAATAAAATATAAATGTTTTACATATATTTACCATGTGAGCATGGTAGGACTCTCAGTTTATCCCCCTCTTCATATTCATCCAGGCAGATGGCACATACATCATAATCATCTCCTATAATTTAATTCAGTTTTAATTACCACAACTAAAAACAATAATACAAAACAGTTTTGACAATACCTTTAGAGAACACATGGGTTGGAATACGTTTGAGCTGTTCTTTGGACAAGCGGTTTTTCCTCATCCTTTTTGAGTATTGCACACATCTTATGATCTGCAAATACAGGGCATCATGTTAACTGGATTCAGTATACTAAAATGTAATCAAATTTTATAAATGTATACAATGTACACACCAACACGACACACATAACAATAATAATCAGGCCAATGACTCCGCAAAAAGGTATCAGGTAGTAGGAGAGTGGAAAACTAAAATCTGGTTTAAGAATCACATAAGTCCTAAAGAAAAACACAGTTGTTATAATACAACATTTTGACATGTCTTTATAGCCTGTTTTAGTTTTATTTGTAAGTTTCCTCACCCCTTTTCTGGAATAATATAAGTTTTGAGTACTTGAGAAGCATAGAAGCTGGTAAATACAGATGGAATCTCAATTTCACTGGCAATAGTCTCTATAAAAAGGACCACATCATCAGCATATATGAAAACAAGAAGGAATATTACAATCATTGTTAAATGGTTACTGACACTGTTGCTATAAAAAGGTTTTCAATGGCCTTACCGTTACTGTAGTTCATACTCAATAGAGTGTCTGAATACATGTTGTGAATGATGGCTGCATCAAACCCAGCTTGTTGAGCATGTAGGACCTAAAACAAATATTTTCCAGATTATCTGAATATACTTCACGTTATTATAGTAATCTTTAGAATTGCATGTACCTTTACATCAAAATTACATTCAAAGCGCTTTATTAGTGCTATCAGTTTGGTAGTGTTAGCATCAAAATTTGGAGGCAGTGGAGGTGCTGTGTCTATTGGTGTACAGGCATTGAGTGGACGAGCTACCACCAATACACCCTTGAAAACAAAAAAAATATATAGGTACAAAATATAGGTTAGGTGAGCAATAAAAAAAAATTATAATGCATAAAAAAGCATTTGAATTCTTATATTCAACCATTAGTCCATCCTTGGGCAAACTGGGTCCAAAAAGAGCAGGAAGGTCCTCAAACAGCATTGATGTTGAGTTGTTGTAATGCTGCCAGAATCGATAGTGTCAATATCAGATATTCCTTAAGTTTCAATATGAAATTGTTGATATACTTACAGCATAGATATATGCATAAGAGGGTGAGGAAAACAGTGAGAAGAAAACCAGGAAAAAGACATCGCCAACGTGGAGGTGCATCTTTGTCACTTAAATGCTGAAGTCAGCTGTTCAAAAACAGCTAAACTGATTTTACTGAAGAAGAGACAAAACCAGACAAGAATATTCACATGTACAAAAACGGGACAAGGGTGAACACATGGTTAGTAGTTAGGGTGTGGTTGCTTTACATTTAAATAGAAGGTGGAGAAAACCATATAACTGCATGAGAGGGATACAATCAAAGAACGAGGGATTAAAGTGAAGTGATACGTTCTGAAAAAAGTACATTTGAGGCATAAAAGTCATTTGGGGTCATGGGTAATTATGAAGGCAGAAATTACACCGTAAGAAAAAAACTATGCCCATAATACACTAAAATGGGGTAATGTATGAAGAAAATTGCCGTTTGGCTGACTGGGTTACCTACATTTGACCACCTCATAACAATAAAGCAAGTTCGAAGTTAGCACTATGCGCTAGCCTTCACATTAGTTATTAGTCTAGTTTGTTACTGGTAAGTTACATGTCGTGTATAACAAGGCTAACTACGCCGAGCTTGGTGCTAAATAGCCAGATACACCACACAATACCTTAGTTGGTTTCCTAATGGTAACGTATTTTATTAGTCACAAATCACAATATGGGCGCTGCTTTCCGAAAAACAGTATCGAGAGAAAGGATTAACGCTAACCTTGCTTAGGGCTGATGTTAGGTAACAGTGTCGTCTTCCTGTAAGATCGCTGTACGATTATACTACACTCCTAACAGCACTAGTATTTAAAGTATATCACATTAAAGTTTAAACACACATTAACTTCTACAATTAAGAGATGGTGTTCCTGTTTCCTTGTTTTGTTAGCCGTTAGCTATTAGCTGGTGTTTGTTATTGTTGCTTCTTGCTCCCTGACACTGCGTCAGTGGAACATTGACTCAACGGCGCCGCTGTTGGGTGGAGGGAGTTACTGCATGACTGCATGAACGCTATCAGGTCTGCTATGGCCTATAACAGGATAATCAAAGGCTGAATACGACTTAAAAAGGACTAACATATGATCTGTCCAAGGTGAAACCCAACAGAAGACATACATGTGGATTAATTTGGCAAAGACATTGTGGAACAATTTCTAAATCTGTGCAAATCTGTGTTCTTTGGTTTGGTGCTGTGTTCTTTGGTCTCTCAACAACATTCACATAAAGCTTTAGAGGTACTGTGTTTTACTCTCTTGCTTAAAAATAAAATACAATTTGATAATATTTTTTATTTAATAATTTTGTGAAATAACTTCCAGGTGAGGGAGTCTTGCATTGTAATTTGCACATTTTTGTTTCGTTTTATGTAAATTTGGGTTTGTTCCAATGTCAATGCATGGTATACAGGCTGACCTGTACCTGAATTTCAGAACAATCTTAATAACAACAATATTAATATATGATAACAACATGAAATAGGTCTACATAATGTATTTCAGCCTCAGATGTGTCCTCCCTCCCCTGCTCGCTGCTCTGCTCACTTTGCTCTGCTCACTTCATCTGGAAGAAAACATTTACCGTGGTAAACTTCTTAAAAGTGTAAAGTTGAGGACATTATGAGAAAAGTTACAGGGCACCTTTAACTTACACAAAGTTAAGTGTTTTAAGATAAACTGGTGGCCTGTCAGCATTGGGTAGGCCAAGGCCTAGGGGACATCTCTGAAATAAAATATAATTTTGATATTTTCTTGAACTATTACACAATTTGTATTTTCTAAATTAAATCTTTCTGAATTAAAACATAATTGTATTTATTGCTTGACTGACCCTGGATCAAAGCTTTTGAAAATATACAATTTTAACAGTTATTTCAAATAGAGTAATAACATAAATAAAGTACCTTTATAATTTGTGTCCTGCTTTTACTAACAAAGATATAAAAACAAAACAATGACAAACCATGTTAAAGTGTCAAAATCTACAGGTTTATTAACTTTTTTGTCAATTTGAGCTGCATATACACCAGCCCATCCAACACATCTTGAGTCACTATACCAGGCCAAAACTTTAAATTAGATTAAGATTATGTCCACTAGTCTCCATTCCTTCAGCTCCACCTTGTCTTCTGAATAATTTCAAATGGATCATCTGCTCTCATAAAAAGTGCGAAACACAGCACCTACAAGGTTAAAATAGTACATTAATATTTTGGGAAGATAAAATTATAAGATAAACTCAAAAAATACTTACAAGAAGCCTTTGCCACATCCTAAAGGTCCAAAGAAGAGCTCTGTTGGCAGGCACACTTTCCGACACACTCCATTTAGACTGGGGCAGGACCATGGGAAAGATGCCCCCTCGATTTCAACAGCTGTAAAACAAGAACAATAATTATTTACGTCAGCACAATACATAATCAAATAGAAAACCCCATTTGAATTGACAGTTTTATTCTAACACTTATTTTATCCATGTCTATTTTTTACTTCATGCTGCACCATATTATTGTTGAAGCAAATTCCTGTAGTTTGTGAATTTCATTTGTAAACAGAAGTTGCATTTTTTATTTTATTTAATTTTTTTTGGTAATTGAATGTTGACTACAAACACCTGACTATCCTGACTATTTAGAGAAAAGGGAAAACCATTGCCCTTAACTGCATAGGATTTTTGTATTAGTTTAGTAGTTCATATTGCAGCTTTCTCTCAGCTGCTACTACTCTTGGATGGATGTGTGTGTAAAATGTGTACTCTAAGCTGAATCCTGATTTTAAAACATAATTTTCAAATCCAAACACAATTGCAATACATGTCAGAAAAATCACACTTTGATTTTTTCCCCAGCCCTCATATTTCTAATCTGTCAACAACATGTACTGCGCTGCTTACCATTAAAGAGAAAGACAACCAGCAGAGCCAAAACTAAGATCCGATAAGACGACATGGTGGCAGTCAGGTTCCAACTGACGAGGTTCTGCCTGGCTGTGTGTATTTGCGTCTATGGGAGGAGTGACAGTAATAGGAAGCAACACAGTGCGCACTAGGCCTTTTATTAAAGAATTATAGAGTGAACATGCCTTTCATAATTCATTTAAGGAAACTGGATTGCCATGCCAGACTCGTGATGGACTGTTGTCATGAGACAGGGATTCTTGGGAAAAGTGCAGAATATTTGGAACATGTATTCAAATGCATCTAATGTGGCTCTTTTATTTATAGTGTGACAAGTTTGAGTCACAAGAGGATAGAGAAAACGTGCAGTGCAATTACTCCATAATAAATCACATTACTGGATATTTTACTTTGGCTTTGCTACACAAACAAAACACAGAGATTGGAGGTCTTAGTTTTATTCAAGATGTAGCCATGCAGTTAAATATTATTTTTGGTCAACCAAAAGTCAACAACAAAATGTCAAGCTAACGTTTTATTTGAACTATGATAAATTATGTATTGCATTGCTTTGTTTATGGTCTGTTTTGGGGCTTGAAAGTTTGTTACTTTTTTATTATTCAGCAAAAATATCTAGGCTATTTGTAGTCAAAATTGTAGTTGACGAAAATGTATCAAATTTTATTAATACACTGTAAAAAAAAATCTGTCGTTTTTACAGGAAAACGCTGGCAGCTGGGGTTACCAGAGCTTTCCTGTAAAAAATACAGTAATACAGTTAATAACTTTACAGAGAACAATGTAAATCAGTTTACGTTTTTTGAAATCACGGTTGAATCACATTTAAAATCAGTGAAATCTACACAAAAAAGTTGTTAATTTTGCATAACCGTGTTGTAAATAAATAGACACCTTCCTGTATTTTTAACATGAAAAAAATGCTTATTATACATCCTTTCCTGTATTTTCTACATAACATAAATGTTTTTTGTGCACTGATTTCTTGTCAAATTAACAGGGAAATATTTCACAAAAAAACAGTTTAAGCTGGCAAAACGACAGTAAAAGTTTATATTTTAAATTAAGCTTTTCTGTAAATTTTACATAAAATCTACTCATAAACGCAGTATTTTTATGTTTAAATAATACAGTTGAACTGTAAAAATTACCTGTTAAACCTGCAAGATCATAAATTCTACTGCTACTACTGTAATCATTACCAAAACATGCAATAATACATGACAAGAAAAATATCACTTAAAACATTTATTTAACAGTCTCAATATAGTAACAAGTTGTAAACAATTAGATTTTTTTCAGCATATAGAACAAAAATTGCATTCAAAGAAACCACTGAATCGAAGTTCGAAGATAGCCTCATTATTGCAGAATTTTTTTCAGTTACTCAAACAATGCATTCTCATGGTGTTGTTTTAACAATATCAAGCATGTGACTGATTTTCAGCTGAACTAAATTAACACTCATTGATCTATTGAATGAGTCATTTTACAGTATTGGGCTTTCCCTTAAAACAAGTTTCAAGTGCCAGGCACACAACAACCAAATTAAAATTGTGTTTACTTGCTAAAACATAACTCTTAAAATGACTTTAAAATTAAAGGTTGTATAGAGGATTTTCCAAGGAACGAGAAATCCAGCGACTGTCCTTTTTCAAATGTTGCGCATGTGTGAAACCATCCCCCCTCCCCTACAGGTCCCTACGTAGAAACGCCTCCTCCCGCCTCCTCTTTACGCCAGAAACAGGTTTGTTTACAGCCGGTGCGCTGCACATGACTTGTAAACAACTAACTACAGTGTTGGTTAGGCAAGGCGGAGAAGTGAGGAGCGGGGGGAGCGGGTGTGCGGACATTTCGTTCGCGGACGAGAAGTGAGGAGCAGGGAGAAGAGCGGAGCAGGAGGAGAGGAGAGGGGAGCGGTGCGCGGAGATTCCGTGCCCGGAGAAGTGAGGAGCAGGGGGAAGAGCGGAACGGGCAGCGGGGACAGGAGCAGGAAAGGGGTGCAGAGGAGGTTGCGCAGAGATTCCGTGCGAATGAACTAGCTACAACACGCAGCAGCAAGCGGACTCTTTCTTTGCCTTGAAAATTAAGTTTTCAGACATAGGATATCGCTTTCGTGTCCTGAAAAACGTTTGACTAGCTCTTGGAAATAAAGTACGTTTTCATAATAAGCAGAAGTGACCTGTCCAGGAGTAATTTGGCGACCAATGCGTCAGTCTTTAGACCCTGTGTCTGCTTCAGTCGCGCCATCGCTGGAATGAATCTTCAAGAATCACCTTAGTTTGGCTTCGCTGCTTTTCCCCTTGTCTTCTTCTTTCAGCGACCTCAAAAACGGACTTTATTTTGCGGCTAACTGCTCCTGGATTCTTGTCTGCCATTGCAACAAACTTTGTGCTAACTGCGAGGAAGATATAGGTCAAAAAAAGCCGCTAAGAACTGTTGCGTTGGTGGAGTAAACAGCGTCTGTGCGGCTTGCGTCTGTGGACTGCGTGACAGTCGTACGTAAACCACGTACCGGCGGCGCGCAGGCAAGTCAGTTACGCTAGAAACGTAGGGAGATTGATTGACAGCCTGTCAGCTAACAGATAACGAGGCAGTGTCGTTATCTATTGGCAAATGTTTAGCTGGCCCCACCACGTCCAGAGTTGATGAATTTTTATTCTCTTTTTTTTGGTCATCATAATTACAAGGCTACTGCACCTCTATAATGCTATCATTGACAACTTGAAACAAAAAAAAAAATCCTCCATACAACCTTTAACATTTACAACCCTCATGCTCACCTGGGGGTCACATTGTCCCGAATAATTGTTTTTTTTCCTTCCCGCTCTCTTGGGGCGGGTCTATCAGACCCAAAAATTTATTTTCAAATAAATTCTCGCCAGGCGAGAAAATACATTTTTGGGTTTGACTGACCCGCACCAAGAGAGAGGAAAGGAAAAACCGTTTTTTTTTTCTTCAGGTCAATGTGACCCCGAGGAGAGCATGATGGTTAAATCAATGACATATTATGCTTTAATTAACATAAATCACACTGTAGATTTAACAAGGCAAAAACTTCCGGTACCTCTTCTCAAACGAACACAGAGTCCAAAGAGATTCCAAAGACTGCATCAGACAGTTCATGTTTATCCTTCCCGCCACTCGTGATCAGAGAGTTCTTGTATCAGGGTGAGGACTCGAGGGTTTACATTGAGACGACGCTTTGAGTTTTTACTCTCCACTTTGGTTCCTTTTTCCGGGTTTATCAAGAAAAAACACCTATAAAATAAAATATTGCATATTAAACATTTTTATTTATCAGAATAAAATAAATAAATAAACTACAAAATATATTTTCGAATAAAATTAATGTTTAAAACACAAATCTGTCATTTTAGGTCCCAGAGTAGCAGTCCCAGCCCAGGACTGAAGTCAGACCCAGAGTAAAGTCTGGGTCTGAGTCCAGGTATCAATCTCAGTATTAAGAAATGTGTAAGCCATATTTACTCACCTTTGAAGAAACTCAAGAGTTGAAGCCAGCTCAGATGGATAATGGATGTTAAAACAATAGTAGCTCCCAAACAGGCACAATGCAGAAATGAAGGAGGAGATGTTTGTGTTGATAAGGTTCTGATCCAGACTCAGCATGTACCTCGTTGAAGAAAAACATGATGTTCCTATGAATACAATATTAAACAGGGTATTTTAATAAACACCACACACATGACAAATTCTATAAACTGCAATTAAAAGATATGAAACAGACTTACTACAGACAATAACAGCTGGTGTCACAGGCACTTGCTCCAGTTGGACCTCTTCTGCCAGACATGTATCTTCTACATAGAAGAACAAGGACTCCTCCTTCTCAAAGTAGCTGAGCAGAAGCAGGACCATCTCTTTCACATCATCTGAGCAGCCACTCTGCTGTCCTCGCATCCTCTGAAGCTGAGCATAAGTCTGAAGGAACTTCTTACTCTTGTTGACACAAACTGTTGTCATGTAGTTGAGAAGCCTTTTCCCCTTCAAATCCAAATTTCGAGTGAATGTCTCTTTAAGGTCAATCCCAGTGAGTTCCTTGAAGTGGACAGACATACCAAGTTCATCAAACAAAAATGGCCACTCCTCTCTGAGGTATTTGATACTTTTTCCCTGGTTGACTTGTTGGCGCTGTGTGTAAAAAGTGGACTTCATTAGATTTTTGATCTCTTCCAGATTGGCCTCAGATAAATGTTGGTACATTGCTTTGAGTTTTTCCATCTTTTGCTGCTGGCTCTCTTGAGTTTCTCCAATGGGCAGAAATTTGACATTCCACTTAATGCACCCATAAATGTCCTGCATTTCAGCTCTCTCTTCTAAAGGGATCTCATCTGTGTGATCCGAGTCATCGGTCTCATGTCTTCTTTTTCTTATTTTAGGTGTTGAACCGCGCCTCACATTTTCAATTCTGTTTTGTAACTAACAAGGGAATGGTAGCCTGCCCCAACAATATCTCTGTCTATAACATCTTGTAGAGATTTTGGATATTTTGCTACCATATTTTTGCAACATCAGTTGAATGCTTTTTACCTACATGAGGGTATTTTTCTAACATCTCAGTCACAACTATCTGGACCATCTGTCTCCTCAGTTTTGAGCCTGGCCTTTTTCCCCTCCAAAGACTGCATCACTTCCTCAGGAAATTTACTCCATGGCATTTCAAAACTGTTCTCCCACTGTGTATCGAGTCCTGGGCTGCTACTACTGGAGGAGGTTGAAGATGAACTTCGGGGAGAAACTGATAGATAGATGACAGTGAGCTGGGCTCAGGAGTCTGGTCTTAAAATAACAGAAAAAAGGTGATGAGTTACACTGTGCATACCATGTTTTGAACAGATGACAAAATCCATACATTAAAAGACTGTTTGTGTACCATCTTTACTTACATTTCTGTTTCCAAACAGAAAGAAGTTTTCTGGCTTGTATAGGTCTTAATGCAGTCATTAAATCAGCCTCCTGTATGAAATGTAGATCATCATACATCTCAACTCCAATGGATTGCAAGTGTTCTTGGAGGATGTTTTTGGTTGCCGGTGGAAGGTCTGGTAGTACTTCCATGATGGCATCATCTAAGAACATTCGCTCTGTGTCACTCATATTTGCACTAAAAAGAAAACAATAAAATAAAATACAGTAAATAAACTTAAATCAGATAACACTGTGAACTATTTACAATGTGAGAAGTATAGCATTAGCTTCAACTTTATTTTTCCACAATACTGTGCTTAAGAGGAATGACTTTGTTTCCATTAAGAATGTATGACACCAAAGGATAGAAATCAAGCAGGTCATTAATGTTCATACACTGTAACCCAAGACTGTTCTTTATCACAGAATACAGATGGTATTCTGACAGGAAGATGCCTTGGTGGATATCCATCAAAACATACACAGCCGAGTCATTTTGAATCAAGAAGAGAAGAAGTTCACCAAATTCCACATACTCATCATTTCGGTACACAACAACTGCCCCTTCTTATATGTAGTGCCCTTGTACTGAATGTCTGTGGAGACTGTGGTATTGCTTTCTGAAAAGGCAAACTCCTGGACAGCACATTTAATAGTGTCACTATAAAGGTTGGAGTAAAATGCACAGCTGTCCTTCACTTGCAGTAGTTTAATGCTTTCTTGTCCTGCTAAAACATATGCCTGATACATCTGATGACGCTCTGCTAAAGTTTGACAAATGTTTTTGAGGTTTTTTTAAGTGTTTGGCACATCTTTTAAAATAACCATGTTTACTTTCAAACCTAAGTGTCCATAACCTTATCAGGGGACCAAATTTCAACAACAGTACTGAATAATGGCGTAAAAAGTGGTGCTTCGGTTTGAGTTTGATTTCAGGAAACAACATCTTCCTCAACTCCAAATACTCTTGGACCAAAATATCAAGATATGCTATCTGGGACAAGGAAATGTTCTGAGCACAAATAAGATCCACAATGTCTTTTAACTGGAGAGCTAACTGCCACACTTCATCTTCATGGTTTTACACTTTGTCGCCAATTAAAACTGGCAGCAATCTCAAGAAGTTCCAGTTTTGAATGGCTTGCCCGGATAACCTGGCTCCCTCACAGTTGACAGCACATGGCTTTGTGAGTGCTTCTGATCCTTTGTATTTAAACTGTTTAATGCGCCTGTTTAAGAGTGAGTATGTGAACCATTTTTTTCTTTTTATGATGTTCTTCAGGTACAGTGCTAGATCATATGGCAAAACTCCCTCAAAGAGGTCATGACCTAAACAAGGTGGCAGACCAGGCTGAGACACATGGAAAGACTCAAGGCTGTTAAAGACAGAGTTTACCTTTATTCCGCGGACGTCTTCAGTGTTATTAGTCTGAAGCTCAGTAACAGCCGCGTTGTATGTCTCAGGAGTGCGTGGAGGTCCACAGGCATTCGGATCAGCCTCAAACTCACTTCTTGTGATTTCACAGTAGAGCCCGACCGATATGGATTTTTGTAAAACCGATATGATGCAGATATAATGCCATCAGGCTTGGCCGATAGCCGATATAATCACCGATATAAAAAATAAAAACATTAAAATTCATTGCTTTCTATGAGTTATGCAAGCTTAATAATCATGTAAACTTTCACCTTTTTCCAAAAAGTTTTATTTGTAACAATCAGGTGCAGTGTTTTACTTTTTGCATATTGAACAACTTTTAACCAGAACATAATAATTAAATAATAATAAAATATATATGTGCTAAATATATAAAATAAAATATGTTGTTCAATACCATGATAATCTTTGAAAACAAAAAAAAAAAAAAAATCTCTATATGAAATAAAAGGCAGAGAAATAACTGCATTTGTTTTTGCTTTGTTAATGTCCAGTTTGTACAGTTTCACTTTTTTTCTAAATTAAAAATAGAAATCAGTTGTAATACTTTACTTCCATTGTCAGGTAGAGCAGCATAAACTTTAGAATATACAAAAAATGTAATAAAATAACCATTTAACCATGATAACAGTACTAACCTAAATAAACTACAGTGGTAGTTTTCTCACTTAAATCAAAATAAATACATTAAAATATCCTAAATAAACAAAATAAAAAGCAGAGAAACAAATGAAATAATAATTTTAAAAAAAATCTACTTGCACTTGTCTGGGTTGTTATTAATATGTCCAGTTTAAGAGGGGCAAGTTGTAGTGCAAAAAGCATAACTTTTCGGCATTTTCCCCTTTGAGTGATCTGCGCCTTTCATCGTAAATGTTCCCGATGGTGCTGAATACTCTTTCACTGGGAACTGACGAGGGTGGACAGCAGAGGTATTTGCGGGCTAATGTTGACAAGTTCTTAAAGTGCCCGCTGTTTTTGTTTCCACCATTCCAATGGACTACCCGTTTTCCTGCCAATCACAGTCTCCCTCAGGTACCTTTCCAGTTCCTCTGTGATACTCTCAGGGGACTGGTCCTCCTGGCTGGTTGAAGCAAGCATGGTGTCAAAAAGACTGTCAATAACACTGGAGGCAGGATCCACCCTTTGTCTTTTGGGGTCTCCCTCTTCTTCTGCAGTTCTTTCTTCTGTCTCCCCCTGGCTCTCACTTGCATCATCCCGTGTCTCCTCTTGGAGCCACCCTTTTGCACTAAAAAGTGCATCGTTTGTCAACGGGCGCTGCTTATACCTGGGATCCAAGAGGCAGGCAAGGACAACTTCTTTAGATTCAGTGATTTTCTGAAACCTTTTGTCTAGACTTTCGAGCATTGTTTTCCTGACTGTTTAATTCCAATTGTATTTGGACCCTCAGAAAAAACTCTTCAACAACACCCTGAAGGTATTATGCAGGAGGCAGATGAGTCTGCCTTACTCATTTCAAGTGTAATTTCTCCAGTGGCATGAGGGTCTCCACCAACTTTCCTGCCAACTCCCACTCTTAGGTGTTGGGCAAACAAAATGTCCATGGTCACTGGAAATAGGCAGTGATGGCCCTCTTCTGCTCCAGCATCCTTAACATCATGTGCAAGGCAGAGTTCCATCTGGTAGGTACTGATTGAAGGATTGAATGGACAGGAACACAAGCTCTTTCTGTATCACCGCAAACGTTGCTGTGCTATAACTGAGTGGTTAAAATGTGTGGCTATTTTTTTACATTTTGCAATCATGTCACCTACAGCTCGCTGTGCAGTGAGGCCATCATTGATGACAAGCTGAAGGGCATGGGCACTACAACTCAGGCCAGGCATCTCTGCAACGTTCATGCCTTTATCATGTTTGCTCCACTGTCTCTTAATACCAAATGCACTCTTTGTTGCCCAATGTCCCACTCCTTCAACAAATCTGGAAAGTCTCTCCAATATACTCCCCAGTGTGTGACCCAAACATCGCCCTTACGTTTAAAACAATTTGAACTCTGTTCCAGTCCTTATCAATGAAATGTGCTGTTAAGCTCATGAGGGACTCATTTGCTCCTGACCAACAGTCTGTTGTGAAGGCTAGGGCTCCAACATTTGCTGGGGAAAGAAGCTCTCTTACTCGGTTCACAACTTTGTATAGCTCTTCCATCATCTGTGTCCGAAAATATTTCTCAGATTTTAATGTTATTCCTTTACTCCAGCTTTGTGATGAGCCGTTAAACCCTTCTCCCTCCACAATGCATAAGGTAGTATGTCTGTTGCTATCATTTCCATTATAAGCTTATCGATAGCTTTAGCTCTTGCATCATTTGAGGTCCACTTGGTATTTCTCTCCATTATTTGTTGGAGTGTGAGCTGTTTTGTGTTCTCTGTTGTTGTTGAGCTTGGGCATTCAGATAAATTTCCTTGTGTTTACTCTTTAAATGATACCACAGGTTGGTAGTGTTCTTTGATTTCAACTTGCTTGACCCTTGTCCCACTAAAAGAACAAATGTTACAAATCGCACAACTTGAGGCATCCTTGGTGTATAGTCCCACAATACTTACAGCTTCCTTTGCTGTAACACACACACAAATAATAAATATTATATATAATGATTATTCTTCTACCCTGTCCAAGTAGTTTATCATATAGCATTATCATAAAGCAATATTTGCATTAGTGTCATTATTATTTATTAATATCTACTCTCCCGTTCACCTGAACGCGCGCTACCTTTGCTGCAGTGCTCCGTTAACACATATTCGCTGAGCGCTTCTCACTTGTATCCCTGCCTCGCAAAGAAATACTGCACTACGCACGTTTTTTTTTTAAAACGGTAACGCAGCGTCACACAATCACTGTGTGACAGGTTGGAGGTGGTCTTTATAGCTGCTTTTACGCGATCTTGAATTGGACATTTTATCCTAAGCAGACTCGGAAACCATCGTTCTTTTTAAATGACGCTGTTTATCTGTGCGGCTGTTCAAGCAATTAGCCATTTAACTTATCTGGTGATTTTGACATATTTGAAGGATACTAAAACATGCCGTATATTTCAGTGAACACATCAGTATAATTGTTATGCACAATCACATGTATTGCAATGTGTTGCCCCGGCAGAGAAAGTTTTGGCAAGGTAGTCTAATTATGCTAGTTATCATAATTTAGCTCGTAACTTACAAAACATTAGCGTGACCACACACTCAATAATATGCAATTCAAGAATGAAAACTTGTTGTGATTGTTATTTATTCCATAGACCCACTTACCATTAACAAATAAGCTCCACGCCCTCTATCTTCTGCTCCTCTCAGTGTTTTTTGGGGGNCTGCCTTACTCATTTCAAGTGTAATTTCCTCCAGTGGCATGAGGGTCTCCACCAACTTTCCTGCCAACTCCCACTCATTAGGTGTTGGGCAAAAAAAATGTCCATGGTCACTGGAATAGGCAGTGATGGCCCTCTTCTGCTCCAGCATCCTTAACATCATGTGCAAGGCAGAGTTCCATCTGGTAGGTACTGATTGAAGGATTGAATGGACAGGAACACCAAGCTCTTTCTGTATCACCGCAAGACGTTGCTGTGCTATAACTGAGTGGTTAAAATGTGTGGCTATTTTTTTACATTTTGCAATCATGTCACCTACAGCTCGCTGTGCAGTGAGGCCATCATTGATGACAAGCTGAAGGGCATGGGCACTACAACTCAGGCCAGGCATCTCTGCAACGTTCATGCCTTTTATCATGTTTGCTCCACTGTCTCTTAATACCAAATGCACTCTTTGTTGCCCAATGTCCCACTCCTTCAACAAATTCTGGAAAGTCTCTCCAATATACTCCCCAGTGTGTGACCCAAACATCGCCCTTACGTTTAAAACAATTTGAACTCTGTTCCAGTCCTTATCAATGAAATGTGCTGTTAAGCTCATGAGGGACTCATTTGCTCCTGACCAACAGTCTGTTGTGAAGGCTAGGGCTCCAACATTTGCTGGGGAAAGAAGCTCTCTTACTCGGTTCACAACTTTTTGGTATAGCTCTTCCATCATCTGTGTCCGAAAATATTTCTCAGATTTTAATGTATTCCTTTACTCCAGCTTTGTGATGAGCCGTTTAAACCCTTCTCCCTCCACAATGGCATAAGGTAGTATGTCTGTTGCTATCATTTCCATTATAAGCTTATCGATAGCTTTAGCTCTTGCATCATTTGAGGTCCACTTGGTATTTCTCTCCATTATTTGTTGGAGTGTGAGCTGTTTTTGTGTTCTCTGTTGTTGTTGAGCTTGGGCATTCAGATAAATTTCCTTGTGTTTACTCTTTAAATGATACCACAGGTTGGTAGTGTTCTTTGATTTCAACTTGCTTGACCCTTGTCCCACTAAAGAGGAACAAATGTTACAAATCGCACAACTTGAGGCATCCTTGGTGTAGTAGTCCCACACAATACTACAGCTTTCCTTTGCCTGTAACACACACACAAATAATAAATATTATATATAATGATTATTCTTCTACCCTGTCCAAAGTAGTTTATCATATAGCATTATCATAAAGCAATATTTGCATTAGCATTCATTATCATTATTTATTATTATTAATATCTACTCCTCCCGTTCACCTGAACGCGCGCTACCTTTGCTGCAGTGCTCGTTAACAACATATTCGCTGAGCGCTTCTCACTTGTATCCCTGCCTCGCAAAGAAATACTGCACCTACGCACGTTTTTTTTTTTAAAACGGTAACGCAGCGTCACACAATCACTGTGCTGACAGGTTGGAGGTGGTCTTTTATAGCTGCTTTTACGCGATCTTGAATTGGACATTTTATCCTAAGCAAACTCGGAAACCATCGTTCTTTATGTTAAATGACGCTGTTTATCTGTGCGGCTGTTCAAGCAATTAGCCATTTAACTTATCTGGTGATTTTGACATATTTGAAGGATACTAAAACATGCCGTATATTTCAGTGAACACATCAGTATAATTGTTATGCACAATCACATGTATTGCAATGTGTTGCCCCGGCAAGAGAAAGTTTTGGCAAGGTAGTCTAATTA